CCCCCCAATTCAAGACTTCTAGATACGCCACTGATTAACCATCATCATCATCTGTATCACCAACATTGCCCATATTACCATCACCATCATCATCTTAAAAAACATCACCATCATCATCATCATCACAATCACCATAGTACACACATTACAATCAGAAATGTTATGCCCTATGTCTTCATAACCCCAATATAAACAATGTAATATCCACTATATACATCCTCCTCCATTCCAATGGAAAGTTAATGGTTTATCTTTACTCACTATACAATATATGCTAAAAAGTATATCTATATATGTATCTATAGATAAAAATAGAATTATATATGGAGCCTCTTCTTACAAAAAAAGTAATGCTCTGTGTAGTAGTGTAAATATTGTAAATATTTGAAAAGGCGCATTTTGTGCAGCAGTTCCCAGTTGCAACATCACGGTCTTAATCTTCCTTATCATCGCCATCGCTATCACCATCATCTGTATCAACACTGCCTATATTAGCATCACCATCATCTTCAAAAACATCTCCATCTTCATCACCACTATCACAATTACCATAGTACACACATTACAATCTGAAATGTTATGCCATAGATCTTCATAACCACAATACTGTATAAACAAGGTAAATATCCACTAATATATATCCTCCTCCATTCTAATGGAAAGTTAATGATTTATCTTTACTCACTATACAATATATGCTAAAAAGTATATCTATATATGTATCTATAGATAAAAATAGAATTATATATTAAACCTCCTCTTACAAAAGAAAATAATGCTCTGTGTAGTAGCGTAAATAGAATTGTGAATATTTCTCACACTATTGTATAGTATAAGGCACCATGGAAGATCACATCTGTTTTCAACGCCACAGCAAAAACAGTTTTTCATATCCCTTTGGGAAGAAAAAGAAAATCATTTAGAGAATTAGATAAAATTAATAATAATAATCAAATTCCATTAACATCTTTTAAAGTACAAAAATAAAGTGTCTTCCTTAGGAGAGAAAAATAGTTGCCCAAGAGCCCAAGATACCATGAAATGGTTTTTCCAAAAATATTTTTTCCTAAGTAAGAAACAAGAATTCTTTCAAGCTATAATTAAATTTACCATCAATTTTAGCTCAGTGGCTAAGCCAAACCTTTTTTTTGCGCTTAGGCGAGACTTTATATATACTTTATTTAGTGAACTTATTTTTTTAAATTTTCATGAGAGGAGCTCGGCAAAAAAATAAAAATTAAATTTTGTTGTCTTATTTAGCAAATAGTTTTGTCAAAAGCATCCAGACGAAGGCAAAAATAAAAGTAAAATTATATTGGTAAATGTATAAAGGGTAGCAATGGGATTTATAAATGCTTTAAATTTATATAATTAAAGAATAGGCCTATAGTATATTTTATACTGATTTCAAGGCAGTGGTGGGTGTAATAAAATAAATAAAAAAACAATTTTGTCTTAAATTTCCAATTTTTCATGGCAGCGGGTGCACAAATTGACCAAAAATAAAATTTTATTTCTATTAAAAAACACCATTATTGGTGGGTGGTGGGTTCACTGAAAAAGGTGTAAGAAAAAATCTTGCCTTATCTATATAGTTTTCATTAAATTAAATACACAATACATTATTAATCACCTGTTGGAACCCTGAAACTTTGAAATGAATTGTGAAAGAGAAAGTAACTCTAAGGTGTCTCCTCCAGTCTGGATTCCTAGTAATTGTCACAGCGCCCTCAATTGTATCGCCTTCTTGAACTTTGCATGGGTCGTCCATCATGAACATATCTTGTTTCCAGTGAGTTGTTCTAAATAAAAATGAAATTGACATTTTTATAAAATCAGAATACTGTAAAATAACACATTTGACAGCTAGTTACTTGCCAAATTGTTCGGATTGCATATTCTTTAGTCAAACTATCAGTGTAATGTATCGAGTCAGTTTGACCAATGGACGTCGTCCAGGAAGAAGAACCACGCTGTTAGAGCAGAAAAGTCCCATGCAAATAGTCCAATTCCATTAAATTTTCCCAAACCATGAACATCGCTGAATTTTTCATGGAATATGAATCCATGATTAGACTGACCTTGCATGCAGTGGTGTAACGGCTATGCGCTCTCGTGCGGCAGTCTGCAGGGCCGCCGAACCCTAGAGGCTCCGAAGGGGCCCCTAACCACATGGTCCTTGATCTAGCACCCTGACCCAAAAGTGATTTGTTGATACCCAGAAAATATCTAGTGTCATTATTGCACAGATTCAGAAATAGCCGTCATGATTACTTGTGCCAGCCCTTCCAATGCCTGTTTCCTAACTTTTGGATCTGTCCCTGTCTATAAAGTTACATTTAGTTTTAAAACTTTTTCAAATTAAAGAAATATCAAATAATTTTGAATTTTTCTTACGGCTTATCTGGACCTGTGTCTAGTACAATATCTTGTGCTTCATTGTCTTGGGGACTGAAGCCAACAGAAAACCATGATCCAAATCCGTGAAATGTGCCCGATTTTTTGACAACAAATCTGAAATTGCACTTATTCTCCTGTAAAGCATAAATCACAGACATCAATAAAAAAAAATATTTGAAATATTTGATGGAAAAATATTTGTTAATATAAACAACAATAATTTGTTAATGCTTACCTCAAGGTCATGAACTTTGACCTTATTCATGTCAAATTCAAGTATAGTTTCTGCCTCTGCTAGAAGATCATCACTATGAATTAAGTGATTGAATATTGGTCGGCCAAAGAATTGATCCTTAGCAACTGGTCTGCAAATCAAAGTAAAAATTGCAAAAATAATGAACAAAAATACTAAAATAGACTGAAGTACTTAGACGCAAGGTTTGTTGGTTTGCTATTAATTGACCTGAGATCAAGTGGCACATGGAAAAACTGTGTGGTGTAGGTCTTCTATTGTTGCTTAGGAATGCTACGTAGCAGAGGTCACAATTCTCCCGTCAATCGTGGGAGTCTCCCAGAAATCTGGATAGCCTCCCGCAACAAGCAAGAATCTCGGAGAAAATAACCCATCTCCCGTCAATTAATTGAATCTGTATGTTTCTACTACTCTATTACCCCTTTATTACAATTTGTCTCAGAAGTCAGTGTTGATGGGTGTCACCAAGAACTACGAAAGCTCATTTAAACAAATCTTCTGGAAATGACTTTTTCCAACTTGGGACCCCGAAACAGTGTTTAGCTACCACAGTTTATACCACCATTTTACTAGGTTCTGACATGTATGTTACTAAGGTCATTACAGCAAAGATCATATTTTGGAAGTGAAGGAATCACAGTAATTGCAGCAGGAAGTAAAAACAGTGTGAATGTTGAAAGAAGCAGTGTTTCAAGAAAGGAAAACATTGAATAAGAGCAATATTTTAAGGAATTTTTGACGTAATTTCTACAATTTACTTTGCAGTTTTTACACCAATTGCACTTTGGTGAAGTTGTAAATTATATCTATTTATAGAACATCATGTATGTATATTCCTAAATGAAGATTCATTTTTTTAAAGGAGCATTTGGCATGACATTTCACTTTCACTTACAGACCTAAATATCATTTGCACCTGTGATAAAATATCATGGTACTCTAAACATCAATGAATTTACTCATATTTTTTAATGTGTTCCGGGCAGCTGTGTTCCAGTCAGTTTCTTTCAACTGTCTGGTCTATTGGCCGTGTGATGACAACTTTAACCAGTCCAACAGACAGGTGCTAACATAATCTAATAAATGCGTTAAAAATAGCTGAAGGCTAACCGCACTGCGAAAATTCAAGTTATCAGAAAATGCGCTCATAAAAATCACTTGATCTCTTGATATTTTCACTTGTTGGACTGGATTTAATGGGTAGTATAATTGGATGACATGTTATCTTCGCATTTTGATTTTTCATAGTTTATATACTGTATATTTTCAATCCAAAACCTGCGCCATCTTTCATATTTTTGATGACTTCATTGGCAGGGCACCAGAATGCTACTCTGAAGGCTGTTGGCAGGGTTCCTAGAACTGCCCATATTTTTTGCTTCAATGACTCAATTTAATGAGGTCAAAAATATAGAGTGGGCGTTAAATTCAGAAAAAATATAGTAGCCTAAAACACTTGTTGCGTGAAAAGGAACTGGCCACCCTACCACACAATGGCGTGGTTTAGTACGATTGGCTACTTGGCAGCTCATTTCTCTTGCACTCATCAATGAATAAGGGACTACTGTCACCTTTAAAATACTTGTATGTTGTATAAAAAGGCCACTTTTCAAGCTATTAATATATTTGATAACTTAACCATGAATATTACCCTTGTGGTTACAGTTTTAGAACAAAAATTCATGAGGCAAGTGATGGTTGGCACAGAGACCTACTATTAACAAAAATAATCCTGAACAACCACCTCAGGGGCGGATTGCTATAAAACGCTCTTAACTGGTAGGGTAGTCTTAACTCCTCGAATAAAGCTGGCTTTATCACTTAGACGGTCTTACTAAAGTCACTCTGCTAAGACCATTGCTATAAAACAGTCATCGCTTAGACCGCTTTGAGTATTGAAACCCAAACAAGCACTCCCTGGTAGCATAAAATTGAGGGCACTGTTACGCTTGCTCAAAACATGCACATTTTAAAAATGAACGTTAATAAACATAGACCAGTTTTACAGATGTTGAGAAACTTGCGGAATATTAGTCGTTTGATTCTAGGTCTAGTACCTGTAACGCCATGATGAAAATGATTTTAGACCATTTTAAGCCTCCTCCCGAGTAGGCTTTAAAAGTTAAGATGGCTAACTGGTTGACCGTGGTATAGCAACGATCTATAATCATAGACTAGTAGTGACGTCACGATTAAAGTCAGCTTAGTGTTAAGACCGTCTAAAGACCACTTATAGCAATCCGCTACTGGTTTCAAAAGTGTCACAATGTTTGAGCTGATTACATTGGCTGCTTACTACACAATTCGACTGGGTTTAATTTAATTGTAGAAACTTGTGCGACTTAAAGAAGACTTAAAACCCCTGTCATTACAGACAGTATAGCTTAAAAGATATCATCATTTCATATTTTGTACGTTGTTCATACGTTTCTTACATCGTTTTGTATCTTATCATATATTGTGTATTGTTGATACGTTATATATTTTGTATGAGATTGGATGCTTACTTATCCTGGTGCAGCACCCATTTTATGGAACACTTTACCCATGGACATAAAAACTTCACAAAACATCAACAATTTTAAAAAAATGTCTTAAAGCTTACCTGCTCTCGGAAGCATTACCAATTTAACTTAGTCGAGCGCCTTTGAACATTATTGCAATGGATACCGGTGCTATATAAATTTGATTGATTGATTGATTGCTTGTTTGAGATGGATATAAAGCTCTATACAGATTATAATTTTCTTTGACTGTTGTAAGCTCATACATAGTCATGATGTGATGTCATCATGACCATATATAGACATGTCGCATGTTTTTGTCAAATCAAATTTAATAGGCTGGACAGGGCTTAATAATAATCTTGATATATCAGTCAGAAATTGGGAGGTTTCGCATGCGAACGCATACAGTTAGTGTGACGCATACGTCATCATAAGTGACGTTATACGCCAGTTGCTATCCACTAACCACGTGGACGACACATGATATCGTGAAAAACGCGTAGGAAAATTTTGGATTTCTAGTATAATCATTATTACAGTAAGTTTAAAAATAAATGTATCTTTAATACGTATGTGCCATATTTGCGACTTTCGAAGACAGCAAGTTACGATAGGATGCATCTCATTTGGGGGTATTAAAAAAACGTCGGAGCTTGGTGGTGTCGGGATTTTCCTGTAGGCCTAGGCCTAGCTTACAATAGCCTGGCATTTTTGGGTTACGAAATAACTAACTCTTCTGGGCAACAAGGGAAGGAGTATTATTCAGCTACCACTTCCAATTTCCAAAAACTTACATACCAAAACTGTAGGCAATGCCAAAATTTGATTTTGAGAAGCATGATGAGAGAAGAAAACGGAATAGCCTAGGCCCTAGGCTAGGCGCTTAAATTTCGCTGTCATTGCAAAAAAAAGCACAGCATGGCTACAAACCGTCACGGATAGCTAAACGTATGCGTACACTATTCATTCATGCGCGAAACCTCTCTGATATCATCAGTTTACTTACATTAAAGGTGTGAAATCAAATCCATATACAAAACGCCAAAAATCTATTTTATTTTTGTATGCTACATTCGCCTTGCATGGCACAAGAAAAAGCTTTGCGTTAGACGGCCACATAACACCATGCGCAAGAAGCCACTTGTCGCGGGCCACTATCACAGACTCAATCATCAATTCAAACTGAAAAGCGAAGCAAATTGAAAGGAAAAAAACAATGCAGAACTAAGCAATGATTCACATTATAAAAAAATAAGTGCATATATATATTTTATTTTCATTCATCTTTATAATATACAGTATTTTCAGACCCATTATTTTGATACATGTGCTGAGGATTGTCAATAGCGCATGTAATCAGTGTTCAATTAATAAGTGGCAATTCCTTTTACAAGACAAACATACAGACAAGATGGAGTAAAATAAACATATTATAAATAATATTATATTAGGTTAATTTATAGCAGGGGAACCTATAACTAATGTATAAAATCAGCAAATTTACAAACATGCAGAGTGCTACAAAACAGAATTAAATAGCTGGTCTTAACTGAATCTATAGCATTTAATTATAATCTACAATGTAAAAGAATAATTCAGTCACATTTCACAGAAAATAACAAAATTAACAATTTACTTCATAACAGTTGTGGATATTATCAACAATAACGGCAACAACAACAACAGCAATGAACAATGAAGCATGCAAATTGGTTGGTTTTCTTGGTGTGAAAGATATCAGGGATAATAATATAAATATAGTTTTTCTTTGACAGACAATACCCTGTATCATATGTACATTCTATCTGTTTGTATACTTATCCACCTTATCTGTTTATCAATTTCCTTTAATATATAAACATGAAGTGCAGATTGCATATATATTAGCAACATATGATGTCAGGAAGAGTAGTTGAGTTCCATTCTACAAAATGGTTATATTACATTTTGCAATCCTAAAATTGAATATTTCTTAAAATATCTATACATTATACAGTACTCACAATCAAGAGTGTACCCATCCACTCGGACACAATAAGATCAACTTGTTCTGGTAGTTCAATTTCTTCTAATTTGCCATGAATAATGGTGATACGGTCCTGAAGATTGTTGTGTTGAACAAGTTGACTAGCATAGGAAGCCATATCACTTGCTTCTACACCATAAACCTTATAGTAGAGAGAAGCATGTTAATACAATAACATATGCGAGTAGAATGGCTGAGTGGTTAAGAGCTGCAACTTACAGCCACAGCGCTGGTTTGAACGGCACGCTCGCCTATGGTTCTGGAGGTAAAACAAGCCTTCTCGGATAAGGACTATAAACCATAGGCCCAGCATACACATTTGGATTATGCACTATAAAAACCCAGTACATCTTTCAAAGTAGGGGGTTACCCCGGTGTACTAGACCATGGAGGAAAGCCCATACATTCCCTGTTGTGGACATACGAGAGCAGATGGCACCGGCTTACTCTTAGTGGAGACGAAAGCTATTGTACGAACTAGTCCACACTTCAAGAGCTTTAAGACTATGGTGTAAAGTGCTATATAAATCGATTTATTATTATGTAATATGTGAATATTTAAATTATTCCTTATTAAAACAAGAAAGAAGCAGTGTCCGCAATATACTGTTTAATCATTAAAGGGTGGATACATGGAGAGTTTCTTTATATTTAAAATTTTTATATTTTTTTTTTTATATTTAAAATTGTTTTTAACTTCACTCAATTTTTATCTTTAAAATTTTATATTGAATAACTTTTGCATGTATATATTCTGTGTTGTGCTTTGTTTTGTGAATGTTATTGGTCTTGCTAAATTTTGTTAGATTTTCAGAATTCAGTTCAATACTGCAATGTCAATTTTTGTTGTTTTTAATAATAAACCAGAATGAAATGAAATGAAAAAAAAAGAGTTAAGTTTAAACAGGCATAAAAAACTTTCAATTTTTACACATTCTTTCAATCACCTACTTCACACCTAAATCTCCAATGCAATGAAAGTGGTTCAAATTAATAGCAGCATAACTACCAACCTTAGCAGCACCTCCTTGTTTAGCACAAAACATACTTAAAATTCCAGTTCCACAGCCAATGTCTAGGACCACCTATAATGACATCAATATATTTAACTTGAATTGAGTAAGCTGAGATATAATGAATGAGCATTTTGTATATTTTTACATGTCACGCTACACACTCATTTGAACATGTAACATTTAATTTGTTCTAGTGCATGGGGTATGCTTTAAAATATCACCCATATGTCCAAAATGTGATTATCAGGCCCTTATTTATACTAAATCAAGAAAAAAACAAGCAAAGTTAAATGAAAAAAAAAATCTTAATATCAGAGATAAATTTTTATCACATCACCATAGAGTTAACGCATGAATTTGACAATAGGATATATCTTTGTCAAGAAATTACTTCAAAAGCAAGTAATCTGATAAACTAATGGTGTGTATATTTCTTTAAACATACTTTGTCTTTTAACCAATTAGAGTTGTTCTCCACAGCTGCTTGATATGCACTGGTCCTAGCAAAATCATCCAACATCTCATGGTGTAGTTTCTGAAATTGAAAAACAAATGATAGAATGGTGAAATTTTGGGCTTTAATCAAAAGGTCATGAGTTCAAGTTACAGGTGTACAGGTAAATGCATTCTTTCAGTCGATTACTCTGAAGAAATCTTCATGAACTTTTAAGTTACATCAGTGATAGATCAACAGGTTAGAATTACACAGACCTCCATATTTTTAAAGGATGCGAGTTTAAGAAGCCTTAAGGGTACATGCGTACTTACAGTCCATTAGACAGACTCAGGAAATCTACATCAGTGATGATAGATCAAGAGGCTGGGATTGTATAACTTTCTCTTTTATATATTCATTTTTATATCACAAATATTACCCTCTCTTGTTGTGGAGAGCAGAACAGAGCTAGAATTTTGAAAACAGGGTGTGGGGATGTACAAGGGTAGGGCATATTTAAAACCTATGTTAATAAGAAAAGTTAAAATTTTGGTGGTTTAAGCAGGAGTGATGTTTCTCCCATGAAACTACTAATAGTCTGATTTCTTACCAAGTTTGCATAACTATCAAAATATTCATCATCCTGCCATTTTTCACTAACTGTGGAGCTAGAGAGCAAGTAACTGGCTGGAACGTAGCCTGACTGCCCATTCAATTCAGCCCACCACCAATCAGAGTTGGTCTTATTTAGTACTTTCACTTTGTCCCCTTTTGTAAGTTGGAGCTGGAAGAAAAAAATAGATCAAAACAAAGTTTAAGCCATGAAGATGCAAGTAGAGATACTTTCCACAAACATTTGTGCTTAAATTTATAATATAAGTGCATGCATAAACAGGAAAAACGATTTGAACACGCCTCATCCAGTGCACAAAAAAAAATCTTGCTATAAATTTTTTTTTCTTTTAACTTACTATGTCTAACACTTCCTTGGGCTGTTTATTTGTTAGTTATTACACGTTGAAAGACACTTCATTAATACCAAGGAAGATGAAGTCAAATCATAGCACTGCCATGTATACAAGTTTTTGTAGTATTTTGCGCAAGCATTGCCATTGCAATCATGAATACATTCTACAAATGTGATACTGTATGTGCAGCAATGCACGAGGTATTACATTATTATAAAGTAAACTTAAGTCAGGCACTCACTGAGCATGACGGTTGTAGGCTGACGCGATTCTATGGAGAACGCAACACCACAACGCGCACCTAATGGATAATTTTTAATGACGATCCATTCAAACTTTCACCGACAGTCAGTAAATGTAGTTGTATCATCAAACACTCACAAGGAGCGGAGATGGATTCATCGGCCAATGGTCATACAATCGTCGTACAACTGCGAGTGCCTGGCTTAAGTTGCACAGTTTGCATTGGACATTTTGCTTGGTAAAAACTGACCACATGACTGGGTAATATGCAGCGGTGCCGCAAATGCCCACTGTTGCAAGAGAAACTATTCTTCCAGAAGAAATTAGTTCATTACTGTTTTATATACCTGGTGCTCATTGTCGGTTCTGAAATCGGAGAATGCTGTGACCAACTCAATTATTTCATCACCCTTCGATTCTTCTTCCAACCCACAGCTGTGCTCTTTTTCCAGTGAATTATTTTCAGTTATATTATTAGCACCATGTTTTTCTCTGAATCTAAAGAAGGCACAATCATTATCAAGGTCTTCAATATTGCTACTACTGCTTATTACACTGCTGATGCTACTGCTACTTGCATCACTCGAACTGCTCTGAAATGCACTACTACTACAGAGGCCATTCTGGTCTTCTAAACAGGCATTAGAACTTCTTTCTCCATCTCCACTGCGCACGTCCAGGATATCCTCCTCCTGAGCATTTTCAGACATCATTTATTGACATTAATCGTCATAATATTGATCTAGCTAGGAAACGAAGAAAAACTTTATCAATTACATCATATATATAATCAATAATATTCCGATGTTCGCACACACGATTGCCTTATTTAGTAACAATAACTTACCCTACCTAGCCTAGGTACTGTACTTCGTTGATGGGTCTTGTGCCGAATTCCCTTGTGCCGAGCCTGATGAGCCACAGCCCGCTCCAGCTCTTCAAACCCTATGTGAAATGAAAACAGCTGAGCTAGCGACGCTAAGCTAAGTAGGCTTAACGAGCTGTAAGAATTATGGGAATTTTGGCGGCCCAACCTGATTCTCTCATCTTAACAATTATGGTCTCTCGCTGTTTACTGTATTTTATTACGTTTTGGTCGACCTCTTTTATGACACGTCAACGCTAGAAGTGACAACATTAGTGGCAAATCAGCAATTTTATCTTAATTATATACACAATGGTAAAGTATTTTATGATATTTGGAGCTATATTTTTAATAACTACAATCTAAAGTTATAGATTTGTTTTCTTTTCGGTATTTTGAAAGGTTAAATTAGGTGAATTTGACATATGATTGTTAAAGCTAAATGCCAGGCCACCAGCTGGCACAAGTTGCGAAAAACAACAGGAGAGAGGAACGCTTTCCTCCTTGAAAAGAGGATCGCTATGCTGGGCCTAACTGTATAGACTAGGCCGGCTTTACATATTTGAACATGAAGTTTATTTTTTAAATTGTATGCGAAATTTGCTTGTTAGTTTTTAAACTGTGTGTATAGATTAAGATTTAAATTACATTTTTATCAACAGTAACTTAAAAACATTTAAAACCCAGTAATTTTGTACTTTTTTTTTGTATTAAGATGTTTTTTAACTTTCACCACCAGGCTTTACCATCTTCTTCGTCAACTTCAGTTGGTGGATCTCGCTCACCATCAAGAGCAGTATCACCAAAGAGTGGATCACAAGTTAGAAATAGAGGGTACGGATAGCAGACTAAATCATATAGAAATTACTTTAAGTTATACAGTAGTATTCAACTTGTTTGATTGATGAATGGGATCCCTAAATTTTTATTACAGGGTATTTAAAAAAGAAAATGTGTCTAGAGGTATCTTACTGTACTTTATTTCATTAATGATAAAGACGGTTACTAAGAGTTGGCAACAGCTGGGGACACTCACCATTACAAAGATAACATACAGTACTATATCCCTAGCCTCTGCTTTAAAAATCCAGGTGTCGTGATGTACAGAATACAGTATCTCATAATTTTTTTTAGCTAAGACAAGGAGCAATACTTGATAATGATGGAAATCCAAGCTAAAAAAACATCCACAATTCAAACTTCTAACAAATTTAACCACTAAATACATGAATATATTGTCATCCTCATGGCCTGAAAACGGCTCTGCTGATGACCAATGTTTCATCATTGGTCGTCTTCATGGCCCCACTTACCCCCTCCATCTACTAACTTCATGTAGCTGTTTTACTTGAATAGAATATTCTTTGCACAGCATTTTTGCATGCATCCAAGTTTTTTTGTTACCACATCGAGAATTTGACTTTATAGGAGAAGTCTACCGTTTTTATATAATTTGAAAACTGATTTAGCATACTCAAAAACCTGTCGCTAAACCTGGATGGAGCGATGCACCTTGCATGTCATCACAAATTTAGAACGGCGGTGTAAGAAACATGCACAAGATTCGTAATTTTAAAAATGGGATCTTATGTACCTGATTGTGCTAAATCAGTCCTCAAATTATAAAAAGTTGGTAAACATCTCCTTTAAAGTTGAATATATCTCATATAGACTTAAATTAGGCATAGTCTTCTCCTGTTGACTAACTAATCAACATATTCAATTTATTTTCAGGGGTAAGAGTACAGGAGCAAGCAGAGCAAGGAATCCAAATGCAGGAGCCGGCAGCTCAGGGATGTGGAGGTTCTACAATGAAGATTCACCAGGATTGAAAGTGTGAGTAATCAGTTTGTATTTATTTATTTTATTTATTTATATTTTTCAAGAATATTTTGAGAGGGTTGCTCTGACAGAAATGCTGACTCTTTCAAAACAATTTAAGTACATATAAAAATCCTAACTACCGTACATTGAAATAAAATATGAGAACATTTTAAAATATTCCATATTTAAAATCATATACTGTATGAACAGTCTTTATTTAAAAAATATAAAACGTACAAAGAAAAATCATTCAATGTCAGACAAAGTGAATTGCAAAATTAGTTTAAAAAGCTCACATTACAAAAGAGTTACACAAAACAATCTTACAGTTACAATTGAAATTACAGAATTGAAATTTATAGCATAAATAAATTTTCCTCACGACTAAAAAAAAGCCTGGTTCTCACGAGAGCCCTAGTATCCGGTTCGGGAGCTAACCGTTAGCGCCTGCGTGAGAACGCCCGATCGGTTAGCGCTAGCCGTTAGCTGTATCCGGATACTGCTAACGGTTAGCAGGCGTTATCGGTTAGCAAGTTGAGCGTGTTTCTATCATCAACCAATCACATGTACGCGTTTACAATTTCCAGTTTCTTATTGGCCAGTGATTCGATCATCATATTTTTGGTATCCGGATTGGGATTTTCTCAGATGGATGCACGGCAGCTAACGGTTAGCAGGATCCGGATCCTGCTAACCGTTAGCAGCCGTGTGAGAACATAGCCAAAACCTCCAATCCTAATCTTCCTAAAGAGACTTGTTTACAAATCATCATTCCATTCTGTAATTTGCAAGTTACTTGCTGTTGAAGCGCAATAAATAAAATTAAATTACAAATATTATTTTGTAAGGGCTTTATCCTTTTTTCTTAAAAGTCATTAAGTATGTGTTTCTATATTGGACCGTACATTTATTAGAAATGGTGATTGTTTCTGATTATCATTGTTATTACTTTTATTCCAGTGGTCCAGTACCTGTACTTGTAATGAGCCTGATTTTCATCGCATCCGTTTTCATGCTTCACATATGGGGCAAATACACACGTGCATAAGCTGCTAACAACCATAAAGATGTGCTTTAATCAATTAAAAAGTGGATGATAGGAACTAAAGATGCAAGGATGTTGGTGAAAGTTTTTACCAAGTGGATGGAGGACCTTCACAATAACTATATTTCTAAACAATTTATTTACTGGACACCACCAAATATGAGATTTTCTTGGATTGCATTGGCTATGAGCTAATTAACTTTGATGCCTTACAAGAAAGACTGTTTTGTCATGCGTTAATTAGCAGGCTCGTAGCCAAGAATTTTGTATGTTTTTCGGGTTGCCCCTCTGATAACCACTCCCTTGTATGAAATAACTAAAGGCCAACTCAGACAGCGTCAGCCGACGCAGCATGACCCGATTTATCGTCGGTGACAGTCTTCAGCCGTCGTGAGAAATATTAAACGTTTAATATTCTACGACGTGACTGCCCCCGATACAAACCATCACGTCTGCGTTAACTCACACAGACCCGACGCCACAACGTCGGGCTGCGGCGTACGACACTGTCTGAGTTGGCCTTAACAAGATTGCTTAACCATTCCATGGACCTTTCTCATAGTTAACCCCTCCTTAACAAGCCCTAGTTACAGGCTTGCTTAATATAAGAAAACATGACTTGTTTTTTATAAAAGAAATGAGTTGGTCTTTCAAAAATCTTTTTATCTTGAAATCAAGTGTCTAATTAATTTTCATACAGGTGGAATTGTTATTTTTTGCTCATTCTAAGGCCCATCTCTGAAAGTTCTGTATACCAGGTTAATATTCAGATGGGCCAAAGTATTCGCAATGTACAGTAATATAAATTTCAAGTAGCTGCTGACTATTAAATGTAAAATTATTATCTGGTAATAAATGGAGAATTTTGAATTAAAATTTGTTGTGATGTTCTGCAGTTTTCTTTATCAAGATCCTGATTAACACAAACTAAGTACAAGTTGATGAGTCTGTTCAGTTGTGGCACCAACAATGGACAATGAATTCTTTCAGGAGGAGCCACTATGATTACTGTAAAAGTGACTGTTCAAATTACCTCGACAAACAGCGGGGCTGAGGCGACTTCAGACCGCTCTGCCACTGTCTTCAATACATGTACTCCGTACTAGGTTCTTAGTAAGAAAATACACAAGGAAATTATTATAACAAAAAAATCCCTAAGGAAAGAAGACGGCAAACACAGGTGAATGTAGATAACGTTGCCGGTCGGAGTTGCCCAGAACTTTGATGTGGAGCCCTGTGGCTAATAAACATGCATTGTGCGAAGCAACCAGGCTTGGAAAAGTATTGTACTGTACAGTATATAGAATTGTAGTGTCATCTATTGTAAATGTTAAATAAACGTCACTCCATTCAGCTAGCTACTAAACAGCTGTGTAAAATTAAATCGGAAACCCGCAACAAAAACGAAATCAAAAAACAAGATTTCATCAACTATACTCCTTTTAATTTGTTATTTACTTCAATTTCTTCTAACCATATCTTAAATAAATGTTAAAGGCCAACCTTTCTCACAGTCACATCATATTTAAATTCCATCAACCATTACATACAAACCCTAAGCTTCTCATAGTAAATTGTATTTAAATAAAGCAATGTTTGTTATATTTTATATAATTTTACTATTTATATTAGTACTCGCTTTACCACATGTGTATATAAAAATAATATACAACAGACATTAATATTCTGAATATTACATAAACAATACAGTATATGAAAAAAATGACCCACTTTAACAAACCAAGACAAACTAAAATATACAACAGTAATATTGATATGCACAGTTATCAAGTATAATGAAATGATGATAATGAATACAATGAAATATAATATGAACAGTTTTGGTGGTGATTATGATGAAGCATAGTTAAGCAGTTTTCATTTCACAATACCATACAAATTTATGTAACTCAAAGAATAAATACATTTTTGTAAGCCTGTTCTATACAAAATGATTATTTTTATATGAAAAACTTTATAATTTTATTTCAATACAATGTTATTTATAATTAATGTAAAAAATGTAATAACTTATATTTATATGTTTTATGGAATTTTACTATTTATATTAGTACTCACTTTACCACATGTGTATATAAAAATAATATACAACAGACATTAATATTCTGAATATTACATAAACAATACAGTATATGAAAAAAATGACCCACTTTAACAAACCAAGACAAACTAAAATATACAACAGTAATCTTGATATGCACAGTTATCAAATATAATGAAATGATGATAATGAATACAATGAAATATAATATGAACAGTTTTGGTGGTGATTATGATGAAGCATAGTTAAGCAGTTTCATTTCACAATACCATACAAATTTATGTAACTCAAAGAATAAATACATTTTTGTAAGCCTGTTCTACACAAAATGATTATTTTTATATAAAAAACTTTATAATTTTAGCAACCAGTAAAAAATGCAATAACTTATATTTGTATGTTTTATGGAACTTTTGCAAATGAAAAACTACATCTAATTCAATTTGAATGGAGGCTTGGTGGTTTTGTGGAACAGGTTAAACATCACGACATCATATACATTATGTATAAAGTAAATCAAACTTAATTTAACTTAAATGGTATATCCTAATTAATCTAACACAGAAAAGCACATTTAGTCAAAATTGAATCAAACATTTGAGGTATATATTTTCATTAATATTGTACAGTATGGTATTATGACAGAAACTGTAGCCACCCATTATACCTGTACAGTATCTTAAAATGCTGTCCAGTGAACTGGAGCAATATTAGTAAAAATTAACAAAATACCAGTAGGAAAACAAACAAAATAAATGTATATTGCATGTGACCATTATGTTAACTAAATGTTTCATGTTGGAAAGCACTTCAAGGTTACATGGGCCACTACAAAAAAAATATAGAATTATAACACTATCCATTTTACTAGCCACTCAAAACTAAATTATATTGTAAGTTCTTTAATTTTCTAGAAGACGACACATTGTTAAAGAATCATGTTTATATTAAATGCTTGCGGTACACCACATACATAGTTTTACGTACGTAATCATGTTTATAAAACATAACTTCTAATGTGATTTCTCTTTACCTATTTGTGTCCCTTATTTCAATGAATTTGTTCATATATTCTATTGTAAACTATCGTTTTGTTAATATTTCTTATTACTCTTTTAGTTATGCACATCATGTAAAAGGGCATTTATAAATCTCTATATTTAATAGTGTAAATTTTAGGGTAACATTGGTAGTAATACCTCTCTACTCTTTTAAAAGCACAGGTTGGTAACAACTGAGTTGAAGCAAACGGCATATCTGATTAACAGATGCATTTTTAGACTGAGTTGCATTTATTACACCTTGAAGGGCCTCTGATAACCTCTGAACCAATCAAATAATGCTTCTAGGGGAATTTTACCTATTAATTATTCAGGTGTGGATTAACAATAACAATATTGTCTTGCATATTACTCTTCACAACATTACACCGGTCTTAGGAACAAATAACAATGGAAAATCATAAATACGTACTTATGGAACGTCATAATGCTGCAGCTAGTAATCTAATCAGTGCATTGGAAACTACCCTGTACCCCATTATTTTTCAGGGTAAAGACAACATAAATGAAACATCCTGCCCAATGACCACAGCGATTGGCTAAAGTGGGAATCTATAACCCTCAACATTTTAACTTCTTGAACGATGTAGTTTGACAGAAAATCTGTTTAAATTGTAAATTAGTATTAGTAATTCACTCCTAAACCAAAAAGACACGCAAAGTACTTGCATGCGATTTTTAAAAGGTCTTTATAATTGTGCGTTATTCAGGAGGAAAAAAACAAATGGAATATTGATTCACGATGGCTTACATCACATCCTCCTGAGCTTGTTTCATACTTATTGTAAATTTTAAATTTATATACGAACAATGTTTCTAGCGTTATGAAACTGGTTAGAAAACACCAGCTCTATAGAATGATCCCTTTTTTGTAAAATGACATAAATATCAAACAATTTCATTTATTATTGGTCAACACAATTTTTTCATACAGAGTTTAAATTATAAATATGACAATTTAATCAATTTAAATCTTTGAATTACATTACTATTGAATTTATTTTGATATAATAACAGTTTATAATCTTTATACATTTAAATTTCAAAATATGGATTGGTATAGATCTCTAACCTGCATTCACTTACTTCTATCTTACACCTACTTTGTATGGTGACAAACTGTGCATAATTCTTAAATATTACTTTAAAGTATTCTTGACAAGGATTTGACCTAGAAAAACACAGCAAAGTGCGCAAATACTTGTAATGTTGTGACCACGTACAGGCAAACTATTCTATTTCATCATTTAACTAAAAAGATGGCGCATAAATATCAAATTTATTAATTATACCTGAAATGTGGTTGTGTAAAAACTATAACTAAAACTATACACCTTGGTCTTAATTTATAAACCCCAGTTACTACGCCCTGTTGAAATAGGCTTCCTCTCGCCCATCCTGAGGGCTGTTTCCAGGCGGACATTAGCCATTGCACCTGTCTTTACTGCACTCATGAGCTGTAAAAAAAACACACAAAAATTGTATTATTCCTACTCAAACTGGGTAAAGAGACACAAGATGGATAAATCTGAATTTGAAGTATATTAAGAATTGAATTGAAAGTGGCCCAGTGGCGGATCAGGCCCCCCTATATTTTTCAAAATTGAAAAACAAGAAAATTTTACTAAAATTTTGAGTCTAAGAGTGCTATTTCCAGAAATCTAGAGAGGTGCCACCATCATAAATGTTCTTACTTCACCCCCAGCCATGGGGTCCCTTTTTGGCCCCCCACCCCCTCTATTTCAAATTACTGGATCCGCTACTGTGGACAGATGGGACTTGAACCATTCTAAAGTGGAAGCCCCAAGCATCGCTACTGTGTCACGTAATTCCCCAATAATGAGTGTTTTACAAGGGACAAGTAATGGACTGTCACATGATGATCTTTAAAATCCCTGATATTATCCTTACCTGTAGAAATTCATCCAGCTCTATCTTTCCATTCTTGTTACAATCTACTTCCTGGAGCATTTCTCTAAGTTGGTCTTCCTGCACTGTCTCTCCAATACTCTGCAAAACATAAAAAAAAAACAATGTCAACTAAACAATGAAACAATGGTAATAGGTGGAAAATAATACAGCAAATATGTAAGGTCTCACCACAAAATCAGTCTCATTGTTAGAAAATCCAAAAATTACAGTAGAACCTCGATTTTACGTATGGTACGGGACCGGAGGGTGTACGTAAATCGGGGGATTCATAAAATAGAGGTTGGGTTAAATGTGTGGTAACTTTTGACCTAATACGTACGTAACGCTCAATATACGTATGTATGAACGAACGATGTTACCTAGCTAGGCTAGACATAGCCTCTAGGCCTACAAATAAAACCACGTGTTTGTGTTTTTATTCATCGCTTTACGATGTCATAATAAAGTGTTCAAATAAAACCATGTGTCTAGTGTATTAATTCATCACTTTATATGAAAATATTGTAAGATTACCTATACGACAAATGTATAACTTGGGAATTCCCCTTCATGCCTATTCTAAACAACAGATCTGTGGTGTTGTCTGGGCCTGTTGAGACAAACTAAACCTATGTGCGCTGCACTTGGCAAGCCAACCAATTAGCGTTCGTGTACGTGAAACAGCAACGGGCGAGGCAACCAAAGTATACGAAACTATGCCTACTCAACTTCGTGTAGAAAATTCGACCAGACAATTTTTTCCATGGTTTGCCACACGAAGCTAAGGAGGAAAGCAATTATTTTGAGCACCACCGGTAGTTGTTCATCTCACTCAGTTCACTTGGTTTTAGATTATAACAACCCGGTATTAGACTCAATCAACGTTGCTGTTTAATGAAAATATGTTGCATTATGGTTTGTTTATTGTTACAGTTTATTGTTTATAGTCTTTTTACTTATGGTTGCTCTGAAAAGGGACGTTTGTTTTGAATATTTTCGGGGTTTTTGATGACGTCATCGTCGACACAAGGCGTACGTAAAACCGAGGGTTCGTATAACTGGGGTACGTAACAACGAGGCTCTACTGTAGTTTATATTATATTTATTCTATTTTGGTAAATCACATTAATTTAGTTTAGTTTGGTCTTTGAATGGCTACCCTAGGATAAGTAGATCCAGAGATGTGAGCATTTAAATTTTAGGTGTATGAGAACCAGGTTTTGAGAAAAGTGGCCTCAAAGATAAACTAACCTGTACAAATAGTAGGACTAGAATTACAGAATATGCGTAGAGAACACTGTTTTAGTAACAAAATTCCATTAAAAAGCATACAATCATAAAATATCAAGTTATTCAAAAACATTAAAATCAAAATTTTGTAAAAATTTTATTTCATTATTTTTATTTTATTTTTTACAAATTTAATTTTATTTTATTTTGGTGAATATCTCAATATGATTTCACCAACGATGCGTCTCATTTGGTGGTGAGACCTCACATATTAAATGTTTTTTTTTTCACTGATTAAGAACTGATACAAACCAAAATAAAGAAACAACAGAGACGAAAGATATTTTAATGTTTGCAGCTGCAAACATTAGCTAATAAGAATAAAATATTTATAATGCGCCATCTACCTAATAAGCTATTGCAAGGCGCAGTGACTTATGAAAAGAAATTTTCATAAAATTAAATAAAGACATGTTTTCTATTTATTTATCATTTGTCACACTATAATTACACTAATCAATTGCTGATTTGAAGAGGTGTATTTTTAAGAAGTATTTTGAAACTGTACAGAGAACTGCCATGTTTGTCATAAATACAAAAGATCATTCCAGAGTTTTGTGCAATTGATGCAAGAGCTGTCACCATATGATGTATTCTTGAAAGGTTAATGAGCAATGTCTTTGATGACCGAAGACTACATAGTTGCATGTGGTGTAAGAGCTGAAATGTGTGTAGATGTTGAATTATCTAATGCCTTGTAGGTAGCAAAAAAAGAGTAATCTTTGTATACTTGTGAAAATGTTGAAAATTGTGAATGGCCATTTATATAACAGTTGTACTTATCTCAAGTTCAGAAAATAAAAAGTTGTTAAATGTTTGATGTCATACCTCCAAGTAGTTCCTAACATCCAATGCAGTGATGAAGCCTTTCTTGGCCTTATCTAGCGTCTGGAATCGCTTGGTGTACTTGTCAATTTCCGGTTGGCTGAATTTCAAAGGCACATTGAGGAGAGACGTGTGACATGATAATCCCATCTCACTGCACAAAAATTTATGTGCTTTCTTCAATTCTTCCTATGAGGAGAAAGCAAAATTAAATATGCGTACCTCTCCATTATGGTCAAAAGAATTCAGAGCAGTCTAACAAGTTTACGTATCAACAATTTCAGATGCAACTGAAGTAGCAAGTAGGTAATGATTTATACATGTTTACAATATTTACAAACAGCAAAATTATTTGATTGGACTTGATATTTTTTGGTGTGAAAAGATATCCACGGTTTGGCGTACACCAATAATAGCATTTTCAACTTCAAGTATAATTCTAACATGTACATTATTAGGTCAATCATTGATATCTTTTACAATTAGGTAATGTTTCTATTTATTATCAACTTTGTAATTCTTTATGTATTCATGTAATTTGACATTTTATTGTTCATTACTGTCTCACATGGATGGGCCCCTTCAGAAACAAGCAGAAATGCTTACAGAGTTATCCTAAAATTCTCCATTATGTTGTTTTTTCTAATTGTTGTTTGTTTGTGTTGATGGTTTTTGTTGTTCCTTTGTTCTTTGTCTTATTTTCACCTTGTGTTTCTTTTATTTAACTTCTTTTGTACATTTGTTGAAAGCGTATAGAGACCTAGTATTATGCGCTATACAAGTCTACAGCCATTACCATTACCATTATTTTTACTTATCTGATTTTGTACTTTGTTATATGTTGGGAATTTTTAAATAAATCCAATCCAACCTGTTGAATGTTTAATCATTCTAACTGATGTAGAGTGGCTTTCAAAAATCTTGTGTGGTTTTGAATTCCAATAAGGCTAGGCCAGATGCCAACACTATTCAAGTACCTGTGAGTCATGTACCTGCTAACCACTGCTTGCCGGTGGTCTTAAATTGCAGGTGAACGGTGCGATAGTGTTGGTTCCTCTGCATTAGTCTGTTTTTTTAGTTTGGTTAGCTTAGTAGAATAGATTTTGTTTTTGTTTTTGTTTCTGTACAGCGTAAAGAGACCATGTAATATGCACTATATAAATCTCCAAACAATTACCATTACCATGTACAATCTCATAAATATATGTCACAATGAGTTTATGTATGATGTGTGGAGAAATAAATGAAACAAACAAATGATTCACCTCTTTCTTTGACTTGTTCCACTTGAGTTCCTCGGCCATGATGTCAACTATCCTGGGCAATGCCTCTTCTGCTGCCTGTACATTCAGGAACCCTAGTCTCAGCCTTCTGCCTATAACATCAACTGCACTTCGGGCATACTCTCTACAGGCATACGTTACCTAAATCACAAAACAAAGTATTGGTTGTTATTCCTATTGACCTAGGTTCAAGATAGTAGAATTTTATTTTGGGACAATTCATTCATACCACCATACACATCAAGATCAAGTAATTACAAAGAACGCCCAGCATACGATGAACATGGTAACAAGTTTGGCTGAACCATGTTCAGGTTGTGAATGAATGTTAATTTATGCTCTATAAACAATTATCTCTTATGTTTTGTTTCTTATCTTTATTGAGTACATGAATGCACTGTTTAATGCATGACATCAATTACATCCTATTACAATAATAATAAAAAATTAATAAAATTAATAATAATAATAATAATAATAATAATAACGAAATATTTCTTGAAGGTTTGCATGACAAGTAACAATCATAAAATAATAAATGAACTTTTGGTACACCATGTGTAAGAATATGGTTTTTGGGATAACACCACTCGTTGGTTGTCTCTTTATCTTATTAATAACAACAACAATATAAAGGTATCTTAAGATTAATAATAACAATGCCCATAGCTTAAATACAAGATTTCACCTCAGCTTCAATGTAAGGAAACTCCTCCATGATTCTAACACCAACAACTGGCCATCGTCTTCCGGTCATATTAGCAATGCGTGCAACCTCCACAGCTTTATCACCATATGTGTTGGCAAGGTGTTGTGCCACCTATGGAAGCAGTAATACACAAAAAGTATAAGGTTTTAAGGGAATGTCTGGAGAAAAATTATACTTTAAACATTAGATATAATTGAACTTGAATAATTAGAGCAATTAAAAATCGAAAGGTCCACTGATTAATCTCAGATAAGAAAGTATAATACATACTCCAAGTATTGAAATGCACGCCATCGTGTTGGGATTGAATATTTCGACATTAATTATATCATCAAGCAATTAAAAAACTGTTAACAAATACTTCAAAAAATGTTATACTTCGTATTAGTGTTGAGCTAAAAAAAAGAACTGCAAAAATAACTGAAAATTCAAATTTTGAATTGTTTGCTTTGTATACTTATGTAAGTTTTTAGCTTTTAATTAAAGCAAATCAGAACAAGAAACAAATTCGTTGCCAACTTATGAATGCATACATTTTCAAGGACTCATGTTAAAACTTACCTCACTTTCCAAGCCAAAATCTTGTACCAGTCTAATGAACATATTCGGTGTCCAGCCTGCAGCGCCCTCTAATAGTAGTCCATCGGTCAAACTTTCATTCTTTGGATGAAGACTACTAGACTCAACTGCTTTATCCACTGCATCCTTAGCCATTGACCGATACGTTGTCCACTTCCCACCTATTTTTAAACATATAATATCTTTACAGAAAAACTAATTATATAAATGTGTGTAAATAAAAACAACAGACAGGTCATAATTAATATTATATAATTAATATTAAAATTATAATATTACCACAAATATCTTCAACAATGAATGCCAAATATTTTTTTGTTTAGATTTTTTTGTAATCAATTATTTTAGAATTTTAAAAATACTGAATTGCGTATCTGACCTGCAATTGTGACAAGACCACTTTCGCTGACTTCAATCACATGGTTTCGTGCCAAAGATTCTGTGTTCTTGGAGTTAGGATTAGAGACCAGTGGTCTAATACCAGCCCATGCAGCCAAAACATCTCCTCGTCGAACTGAATAAACATAACAAAATAAACATTGTTAAGAAGAAACCATAGAGTATGGGAAGGGGTAGATAGATATACATGAGGATAGTAGAAATTTTGGGGAAACAAACATCCACTTCTATCTAACCCACTAGACTAGATTAATTTATTTCTTCTTCCGACAATGAAAATAACCTTCAAAAATATCCTCCAGCACCAAAGGTTGTCAGTACTCCAAATAGCGCAATAGTGTTTGTAAGCCCAACACCATGTTATATTTAACAAAAGTATGGCTTGGTCAACCATTCACTATAGAGGATTTTAAATAAGCTTTCAATTATATCACATGGCTTTTCAATAAATAAAAACAGTTAATAGATTAAATAACACTGCATTGAAGCTAATTTTTTTTTTTTTAACAATTCTGTTTACAATTATTAGAATGTTATTTTGAAGTGCCTCAAAGGAAAAGAACAATACCCTCTGATTGACAGTTGTGGCCCTATTCTTGATTTATTCACAGCACAGACAATATATCTTAATGTCTACTGTTTATAGCCTTGTCCTGACCTCATTATCAAGAGAGGTAATACAAACAGAATCTAACCTGCAACATCAGGGCTGAGATAATTCTTAATTTCTTTCAAAATGAATTGGATATCCTCCTCTGTTGGGCTTGGACTCTCTGTGACATCACAGGCATTGTCGGTGGTGCCTGCAATTGTTGAGTTCTGCCATGGTAGGAAGAAGATGACCCTGCCATCGCTGGTTGATGGGTCAAGGAGCCCCATTGCAGCAGGGCTGTGGCAATAACAAAATATACAATAACAAAATATATCAACACATTAATATATATATTTTTTTAATCAAACCAACAAGAAAATAATAGTATGCAAATAGAATAATAGTAATAACAGTATCAACCTTAATAAAATAAAATTACTGTATGATACAGGAAGTAGTAATAATAGCAATAACAATAATACTGATAATTTGATAATAAAATTATTGATGATAACATTATTGATGAACATTCATACACTAAATGTCTCAATGATACAAATCAAATTGATTGCATAAATTTATAAAAGGAATATTTAATAAAAAAAAAGAAAAAAACCTTGCACATAAATATACATGCATTTCTTTTAAAATTAAAATAGGTCATCTTCACAATGTGTTCACACCAAATCTAAATTTTTGGATCAGTAAGCCTACCAAATCCGATCAGTTTGTAAGAATAGGAATGTTTCGTTCATTGCATTGGAAATGTGGCCCGAATTCTGCTACGAATCATAAGAGAATGCAGCCTTAAACTCAATAACAATTTTGGATAGTACCATACAGAACAATAGTATAAAACATCTTGAGAGTTAACAATGATTTAGCAAGTTTGTGTTACTGTTTATTGTACTTGATAATACATAATACTGTGTGAATTCCAAGATTTTTTTTACCTTGTTTCGCAAACATGGCACTCACAGATGATTATTTCAACTAAAAATATACTTTCTTTTGGCTCAGAAGAGAAAATTCTGTACTGTTTTTCTATATTTTGTATTCCAACTTCCATTGTCATATCATCTGATAAAAGCACTTACTATATCCCCAGAATTAAATATTCAGAATTTCTCAAAGAATTTCATCTGGCTTCAACAATAATGAATAAAGTATTTGTTCTTCGAAGATAAGCCAATCATAAACAGAATTTAAAATCTCTTTTCCGGCTACTAGCTTTGGTAGTACACTGAATTATACAGAATTTGTCAATACAATTTTTGAACTCTTTACAACCCCACATTACATTATTTATACGACAACATGGTAAGACCTTGAAGGGGGGTTAAGTGTGCCCTCAATTACTTTTTACCGGGAAACAATCAATTCGAGCAGATGCCACTTCGAGCGGAATTTACTTCGAGCGGATGCTATTTCGAGCAGAAAAAGATCCACTTATGCGAATAACACCCTGTACGAGTTATATACAAATTACTTTAAAATTTCCTATTTTGAGCTAACAATTGCATTCGGCCGAGGATCAAGCCTTGCCTGGGAGCCGGAGGAATATCCCTGGTGGGTTCTGGGGGAGAAGCCTATAGCCTTATGTATAGAAGTTGTATTAAATTGATTTTTTGGTTAACAATCAAAATTAACCATACCTACGTTCATAAAAATAATGATTTATTTTATCTTAGTCACTCATAATTCAAGTGTTATTCTTTCTACTCGCCTTTAAGAAAGTGGGTTTTGAACTATAGACGAATTGTGAATAATGGGGAAAATTGATATGATGTCATTAGTTCTATACTATTGATAGTAATACTACACCAATGATTTGTGCACCAAGATATAATATAATTTAAATGTTATGGCGAATAGTGATTACAATTACAGTTACTCCTATTTACAAATATAAATTGTAAATTTACAATTGGTTAGCAGCCATCTGGTAGTCAGATTTGCCAAGACTGTTATTCAAACATGGAATAATTATCAAAAGTACCAAAAACATTGCAGAACATTAGTACAAACGAAAGTACTATTTCACCCACAATTTATACAAGAATAGGGCGATGATAAATTCGCCCTTGTTTAGTTCACACTAAATGCATCTGCTCGAACTGGCATCCGCTCGAATTGGCATTCGCTCAAATTGACTGGCATCCTTTTTACCTTATCCACTTGCTTTTTTTTTTAATTTGTCAAATAAATTTCTATTTTTTTTATGCATTGGTAAGAATCAGTTCTATAGTATCTATATTTTTCTTTCAAACTCCTGTGAACATGTTTCAAAAATAGTTTACTAAACAAAGTACGTCCAGACTCAAATTTTATTTGATAAAACCACGTGACATCCCTAAATACAGTCATGACATCACATCATGACCATATATAGACACATCCGGACTATATATGGGCATAAAACAGTTTTTTGTCAAATAACATTTGATAGTCTGGACAGGGCCTTACCTGTAGTAATCAGGTAGCACAATGTGCACACCTGCACTAGGTTGACATATCTTCTTCTTCTCTGGGTCATCCATTAGACGGATGCTGTCGGTGTAAGGACCTGTAGCATTGATTACACACTTGGCCAACACAGTAAACTCCTTACCTGTTTAAAAAAAGATAGTACAAATTCATCATCTCTATTATTTGTTAAAAATTTCATATCACAACATAACACATCTCACATTATCATCCACATTCATCAACATCATTTTCAGTGTTTTCATTGTATATTTATTGTATGGTGTGAGGGTCCTAAACAGTTCACCCTCTGTAAAGTTGGTAGATAAATAAATATACCAACAATACGCAGGCAGTGTATGATGGGTGATTACATCATTTTCCATCCTTTGTACCTGAATTCCAAACACTATACAGGCAAGCCATTCCTTTATTTTCTTTTATGCTCAGGGTGACCTTGACCTTTTCTTCCAAAAACTGAATGCTCTCTTTCTTTAATTATTATGTACCACTCCACAAAATTTTATGATGATCCAATCATTTAGTTTTTGAGTAATCTTGCTAACAGACAGACAGACAGCAGTGAATAAACAACCTCCTTATAGCGGAGGTAATTATGAATATCTGTTGATTGACTAATATTTAAATTCATCCATTCATTTTCTATCTTGTGATTGGCTTTTTCGCAGCAGATAGAATCATTTACATTTCGCTGCGCACACTCGCTTTGCACAATCATTTAAAGTGCATTGTATGTACAAGTATAACGACTGATCATGTGACTGTCCCTTTAAATTAGTACTTTAAACATACAAAATTTAATTTTCAGTTACAGTCAGTTAAAAAACAAAATATTGATTAAAAGCTCAATTAATATCGGATGTAAGGTATGAGGCTCACCCGAGCAGCGGTCTCTGACCAAAGCTCCTCGTACCATCTGCTTGCCGTCCTCCTCTTTCTTGATCAGTGCCTTCACCTCAGTATGGTTGGTAATTGTGGCACCCATCCTAGCAGCTGTCAGGCCAATAGCCAGGTTCATGCGAGCATCATTATGAGCTCCTACATAGTAATATAAATAAAATTTATATAAAGATAATGGAGACAGGAAATTTGCAATTAGTAACAGTCACATGTTTAGAGAAAAAAATTCTACAGATTGTAGATGACACATGAAAAAATAGAGTGCATAACTCTGCCCTGTGCCTGAATACTGAACAATACACAGGCCGTGTATGATGGCCATTCTGTGTAAAGATGCAAAACATGGAAAGCTTTAACAACATATTATTATTACCATTACTATTATTACATGGATATAATATATATATATATGTTTTAATATACCGTGCATCTTAAACGTACCGTCGTAATAAACAATCGCGCCAACCAGCTTCTCCTTCTTCAACATGGGGAACAATTCCAATGCCCTTGTTTTAGATAGATAGTAACTAGACTGAAGTTGCTGTCGCCCAGCAACCAGATCGTACATCTTGATACCTGCCCAGAAATATGGTACTTGCCACCATCTAGGTACATAATATGTAATATGTTTAATATATTCTAGTATTTTTAAAATATATTTTTCAATCTTACATTTCTGTCTCCCTATGCTTCTATCCAAATACATTTTGGTCTACCTACAGACTGGTCTATCGACCTATTGGACAAGGTAAGTATACAGTATACGACGGTCTATCTATTGTGCTGTTTGTCTGTATTATCTATCTACCCATACCATCCCAAATGTCTACGTTTCAATATTTCTCAAAGCAAGTGATCATATATATACCTATAGACTGGCAACATGATAGGAAGTTGATATGACAAGTGCGGAGCAATTTCCAAAAGATTTGCTCTCTCGTGTAGAGCCTCCTTCACCAATCGATACTGGGGGAAATAATAGACATTACAACAATAAATTATATTAATAATAACAAGATTTTACATTCAGTTATTCAATATATCATTTGGACAGATTAACTGAGTTTAGCTAAAAAAATCCATTATTTAACTTTTAATACATTTCAAATGCTGCTTAGAACAAAAATAAAATAGATATATCTTCAGTAGTAGTAAGTTACAAAGGACAGTTCAAGTAGGGGTTACAGAAACAGGAAGGGGGAAGCTCAAAAAAGAGTAGAGGGTTTAGTAGTAGGGGAGATGGGGTATAATTCTTACCTGTTCTAAATCTAAACCCATTATAGCTTTTTGTAAATAACGAACACCCCCATGGATAAGCTTTGTACTTCGGCTGCTCGTTCCTGATGAAAAATCATACTTTTCAACTAGTGCTGTCTTCAAACCTGTAAAATTAGTCAATTGTATTTACACAATTTGGTCAATCAATTTTGCTAATTATGAATACCATCAATATTTAAATTTTATAAAATACTATTTATTATTGTCACTAAATCATTAATCAACTGCCACATTTCTGCTATTTCCATCTGTAAATTTCTAACAATTATCTTTTTTAATCGCTATAATATTTAACATAAAGCTAATAAAAAATATGCTAAATATATTACTTACATAAAACATTTAATTCAATTAGCTATAATTAATCACTCAGATAATAATATCAAAAGCAAATAAACAACTAAATGTTGATGCTTAAGTTGTGGTAAGTCAAAACCAAACTCTCATTATTGTTATCATGCCTATGAGTACAATAAGGAAAATTACGTAGTTCAACAAATCAAATGTTCACCTCTAGTGGCAGCATCCAACGCAACACCACAGCCTGTCGCTCCTCCACCAATCACTAGTACATCATATTCATGTGTATTTTGAAGTGCCTGTACTTGTTGTTCACGTGTGGGTAATGTACTCTGACTATTGGCATCGCGCAGCTCAGCGGCTATCACATACGTTAATCGTTGCTGCAAAGTATAACAATATGAAATTATTATTAAATTATAGTCATTTTAAAACAGACTTTAGATTATAGAAACCACTTCAATGAAATCTTGTGATGTCTACATATACACTTCTGACCTGCCATCAGTAAGAGAATTAATATTTACACACATGTATTCTCCTCCAACCTTTTGGAAGGTATTCATAGTTGTGTAGTTCATTTAGCACCAGACCTCTATTTCATTAAAAATAATTAAGAGCCTACAAGCTTTTCATTTTTTAACTTACTTATTTATCAATCAATCATAATTCATAAAACTATGTAAGGCAATGGAACAGCCTATTAAAATGTCAAATTGTCAACTGATTGGTACATTAGTTGACAAGGTGCAGCACTCTAGTATAGTAACAGATTGTGAGTTATTGTTTGAAGGTTTGCATGGCCGCGCCGCTAACTAAAGCCTTACCATCGGCGCTGGATCCAACCACTCCTCGACCAGGGTTCAGTCGTTTAAGAACCAAGTCTGCTCGTATACGGACTTAAAATGAAGGTCCAACGTACACATCTGGCTTGTGTGCACTTTAAAGAACCTATCGCATCTTTCGGAAGAGTAGGGAGTTACCCCATTGCATGGTCCTTTCAGCCCCTGTCTGCAAACATGTAGCTACAGTATGCGCTTCTTTAAAGCAACTAAATAGTCACTGACCACACCCATGCAATTTGGCACAATGACGCTGCAAGTTATGGGTTATTCTCCTAACTTTACCAGGAAGACTAAAGTCTAACTGATCTACCACACGCTTCCACAGTATTTGTCGTGGATGTTACATTTTTAATAAATGTGTAAATTGGGCATATCCTTACTCTTCTTTTTTCTTGATTTGAGTTGTGTAGAACAAAATAGGTTGCAGTTGCTGCTCCACCTCCAACTAGCAGGCTGCCAAGAGCAATGCGTTTGATATTTCGATATGCCATTTTGTAAACAGCTAGGCCTTGGGCTACAGAAAAAAAATTGTGACTATGTTAAACAAATACTTGCTTGATGATTTTTGGTTGTGTTGAATTCCAGAGCACATAAACACTGAATAATATACTAACTCTCGGTAGAAACATGCTTAAATGCCAACTAGCTTTATCAGTAAACTACTGTAGATAGCAAGTACAGCAGACTCTATGTTTAGACCATTTTAACTGTGAGTTATTGAATGCCAACATTAGGTGGATTGTCAGACCTGTAGCCAGTGGGGGGTTATGGTTCGGGCAAACCCCCTCTTTTCTGGCGAACCCTTCCCCCCTCAAATTTCTCGAACAAGTGTTTAAATGCAACTAATAATGCACTACAGACCCACCCAGGCAGAATATTTGGCACTAATGGACTTTTAATACTCTCCACGCCCCCCCCCACCCACGCTAAACTTTTCAATAACATTCCATAGCGAAACTGGAGTTATGGTTAAGGTTAGGGTTAGGGTGGAGAATGTTTTGCTGCAGACCTTTCTCACCAACATACCTGTTATTATTTGGCATAACCATAAAAATATACAAGATAATATACATTAAAAACTTTGCTATTATATTGTTAAATTGGAATATTTCATGATTAATAATAAGACATTAACATTTACACAGAATTAGGCCCTATGTATTTTTTTCCCACCCAGGTTCTATTTTACAGTCTGAACTTTGGCCTAGGCCTAGCTAGCCTTGACTAGGGTCTAGAGTCTTTTCAGGCGCAGGACACTGGGTGGGTGTGGAACCGGTGAGTTCTGTTGGAAAACATGAAAGGAAGCCTAGGCCTAGCCTAGCTCCTAGCTAGGCTGGGCGAGGCTTGGCCCTAGCTTAGTTAGAATAGTAGGATAAATGTATTTCCTAATTCAATATATTCGACAAACCTTAGCAGCAAAAGGAAATATACGTGTCTATTTGCAGCAAAATACCGGCTTTGCTTCCCGTTTCATTTTATAATGCCAGGCCTAGACGAGCTGCATATCATCCCTTTTCTTCGTGATCGTATCGTAAAATCTAGGTTTGTTTTTATCAATATTCATGAGCTGACCTTTGACATCATACTTATTTGACTGATGAGGACATGCTTAGTACATTGAGACGGTGACGGGATGCGCCTCTCCTCTGACAGATGATTCTCCTCACATCATTTATATACTAAATTAATGATAACCTGTTTATACCTCCATGGTTTCATAATATCAACTGTTTTTAGAATAATCTATGCTAATAAGCAATTAAAAATAACATACTGTAAAGAGAAATTCTCTTGACGATTCTGAATTAATCTTTGCTAAATAAACAAATAAAAATACTAAGGAATGAATAATACTTTTTAAAGAATTGTAAAAATAGACGACCAATAAAAAAAAAAAAACAATCTCCAGATCCCGGGATCCCGGGATTGTGTTTGTTAAGTCTGAGTTTACATTACATTCGCCTACATAATTGCCGTTATAACATTAGTTCAAAATAGTAGTGTGAGGCACTTTTGTACGACAAAATTCGGCAAATGGGTTCGGCAAACTGGGTTTCGGCAAAGTGGCCTCAAACTCGGCAAACCGGGTTTCGGAAAATTGGATTTCGACCAACTGGTCGGATACCACCCCGATAATGCAATGATTAAATAATTAAACACATAATGCTTTTAGGAGGCGATCGCTGTATGATGGATCTCGCCATGATAGTGTGGGGTTGCAGGTTCGAGTTCGAATCTGGAGATACTTTTCCACGAGAGATATTTTATTTTTTACAACTAAAAAAAAATCAATGAATGAAGAGCTAAGTTTGATACAATAAACATAATATTATATGTTCCTACAATTGAGCACTGTTGCGTGCGGAACACAAATCTATTAAAATATAATATTTACGTATATCAACGTACGGTACCTCAACTGGGTAAACTTGGCGGCAGAATCCAACATACATAGGCCTAAATTATATTGAGCAATTACCGGTATTACGTAATAGTGCGGGTCCAAATAATTCAATATCGCAGATGTGATATTTTCTTTATAGGCCTATTGCACTTTTTTCTCTATTATATATACTTGCCATTTGTATCTTTTAATGTGTTTTTATTTTAAGTTATTATTCTCTGTTAAAGCATCTAGAAACATATTTTCATGTACGAACCAAGTTTGCACGTTGACAAATAAAGCTATATGTAACCTATCTCGTCATGACAACAAAACATTTTTAGTATGTCGACTTGTCAAGATAATCTATCTCGCCATGTCGACATGATATGTATATTATGTCGACTTGACAACATAATTATCTTGACAAGTCGTCAAGTCGAATGGCACTTAGGTGCTTCCGTAAGTATCAATTAGTCGAATGGAAAGTTTATCCGCCTTACATAAGTTGAAAGCACGCCACCAGCCGGTATGAACCGTGCATAGCTAGCCCATGGACATGGAGTCGACAGTCGATCGTACGATGAAATTATCACAACCTGGACAACCACCGGCAAGTTTAGCCGAATTAGCCCACCTTTGGTAACTAAGCATTCTTGCAAGAAATCCCACTGTTCGGTATGTTATTAATTTAAAGTAACTATTACCGATTAAGTAAGCTTTAGTTAGGCTTATACCAAGCTAACTATCTATGTTGTGAAGAAGGTCTGAAGGTCACGTTTAAGCTCCCAGTTGTAAGTAAGTAAGTAAGTAAGTATCGACTTAAATTTGCTGAGGATTAATTTACTTAGCAAGTTTTATGATTTATTCAGGGAGATGTAAAAAATACATCTCCTGATTTATTTGTAGGCTTACTAGTCTACTACTAACCAATCAATTATTGAAAATCGGATAAAAGGTATTTACAATCGATTATTAATATTACAGATATGCCGTCTAAACGCAGCAAAGGTACCTACACATGGGAAGAAATCCAACGTAAGGATGGTAAAACCGATCCAGAGAAATGGATTGTTATAGATGATGAGGTATATAATGTAACCAACTGGGGGAGAAAGCATCCTGGAGGAAGTAGGGTCATATCACACTACGCCGGACAAGACGCCTCAGTAAGTAGCCAATATCATCATTAGCCTATTCCAATGCATTGGACTGTAGATTCAGGGGATACCCCCTCTCTCTGCCCTCAGTAGAAAAAATAATTTAAAATTTTGCCTAAATTTATGGGACCCCCTTCCCAAACCCTCCTCCCTGGACTATTTGTTATTTATTTATTTGTAATTTGGTATTTATATAGTGCCTATGCCTTTACAGACTTGGCAAATCCAGAAATTCAAAATAGAGGGAGCCCGGGGAGGTACTTTCAGAGATGGAGGCCACCTCAGCCCCACCATTGTTGGGGCTGAGATAAGAAAATTTGTGATTATGGCACCTCTAGATGCCTGGAAATTGCACTCGCACTGCTCAGACTTAAAATTTGAAAATAATATTCTTTTAATATCTCCATTTAAAAAAAATTGTGAACAATTTAAGGGGCCCTGTGCCGGCTGCCCCATCCCTTGAATCCGCCACTGCTTTAGGTCACAAAGCACTTTCCCTGGTCTTGAGTCTACATTCTTAATTGTTGCCATATTGGCGCACGGTAGCATTAGGCAACACCACCCATTTATACTCCTGTGCGGAGAGAAGCAATGCAGATAAAGTGCCTTGCTCAAGGACACAAACGAAAAGCACAATGAGGAGTTGAAACTTCGAGTTTGGGAAACTAAACCGTTTCTGCGGTCCCCTGCAGCACTAAATTTGCCATGCAGAACCTGATCATGTTCAATATCAGTAAATTGGGTGTGGCCTATCTTGCTTATTCAAATACTAGATGTTCACTATTAGGCCTATCTAATTATGCAAATACTAGATTTCGCTATTTTCTAATTAGCATAGTCCAAAGTTTGAATGTTTAGGCCAGGGAGTTGTTATATAACAACTCCCTGGTTTAGGCAAGACTTTTTTTGTACTTTGTTTTGCAAACTTATTTTTTTTGAAGATCATCAGAGGAGGGGGAAAAAAATGAAATTAAAATTTTATTTTCTTATTTATAACAAATAGTTTTGCCAAAAACATCCAGACGGATGAGAAAATAAAAATATTGGTGAATTTAAACACAGTAGTGTTAGTAATGGAATGGTTAAATGCTTTTAATTTATACAATTAGGAATGGGATGAGGCAATTCTTATTTTTGGAGATTTCAAGGCAGCAGCGAGCATAATAAGAATAAAGATAAACATTGATTTTTTTCTGAAAATTCCATTTTTTTATATTGGCGGGTGCGCGAAATCAGCCAAAAATAACATTTTATTTTCAAAATCATCATTTTTGGTGGGAGGTGGATTCGCTAAATGATTCAAAACTGAAGCATGTAAAATATTAGATTGAATTTAGGCCTAACATAAAAAAAATAAGATGAATACAATTTAGAGGATTGCTAAAATTCAACATTTAGTGAATCTTCATGGCAACAATTATTGTTACTGGTTACTTTAGGCCTACAGTATGTGTAAATAAAATATGTAAAAAAATTTCAATTTATAGAATTAAGTGATATAAAGTTGGGATAAACGCTGAATTGTTTACAATTGATGAGAAAAAAATTCAAATCAGCTTCTGCTTTGCTTGATTTTTTTATTAGCTTTTCTAGCTTCCTCAATTATGACCTGCTAACTTCACTGTTGCAGCTTAAATCATGAATAATGGAACCAAAAGATCGAAGCGAAATCATGTTGAACACTAATTTTAACGAAATAACCAATTTATTCACAAACATGTTTCTCCTGTTTTCTACAGGCATCATCAGTCCTAACTAAAAACAATTACTAAACCAATTACTAATTGGTCCAATATGATGAATGCATTAGTTTTCTACAACATGGCCCTACAGTCGATGTCAGTGACACATTATTGCTGTTATGTATCATATCAACAATACCATTTTGGCTCAGGGTGCTAGGAACACTGGTATGGGTAGGGGGTCAGGGGAGCATCGCACGAGAGCACATTGTAATCTAAATCTAAATCTATGTACAAGAATAATTATGATTAAACATTCAAGTGGTAACAATCAGAAACCAAGTCATCAAGCTGAAAATAAACATAGATGTGTTTAAAACAAATAAATAAACAAAAGTAATTGAGGGTATGCCATGCTTATAGTTTTTCTATGGATACTTTCCAAGTACTGATGTAATACTAAGGGCCCATATTGAGAAGGGTGCCAAGCCTACACTCCATAGAGGGCACATTTAGAGCCCCGTTTCCCAAACTTTTTACTCTGGGATCCAAGTTGTAATTTCTCACACTAGCCACGACCCATCTAATAATTTGATAGTAAATTGTATAGCAACTTTTATAGGATCCTCAAAATTTTACGCCTGCGTTTTAATCAGAGATTACTCGACATTGGCATACATCAATTTTTGCCTACTACATTGTCAGTGGTGGATCCAGATAATCATAATAGAGGGGGCCCAGGGAGGTACTTTTACAATTTTTTGGGAAAAATGCTATTCTTTTAGGTGAGATGACAGCATTTCTGCTTTAAGTTTATATCTATACTTGTTTTTAAACAGTGGAATGTTTAGATTTGTACAATTATGTTGTGGTAAGATATAATATATACTTTGTGGGCATGTAGTAAAATATTGTTCTAATGAGGGTTCACCTAATATAGTGTTTTCAAGTCATGAGATCGGTTAAGACTTTACATCAACCATGTAAATTAACACATTCGACTGTGGGTTGAGGCTCCAAAATCGGCTTAGTTTACCAATTCTGTGACCCACCGATCCGCGCTCTCTTATACACATCTAGATGTGTATAAGAGACAGATATAATTGTCGGCAATCGTAAATTTGGGGAAACTGTAACCAAAAATGAGAATTTATCTTCGAAAAAATAATGTCGTTCATGAAAGCAGTACCTAATCACAGCACACTTACCATACCTGTTAAGCATTGATGAGACGCTATTAGCCAATCACAAACTTTCTTGCAAACTCAGTAACTAATGTAAACAATGTCGCGAGGAAAGTGACAATGTGTAGCAATTTGGATGAAAGTTCTCCGGTTTTAGTGGAATATTTCAATATGATAGAAGTATACCAGCCTTTAAATAAAATACATTGGTAATAGTTGTAAGATTTTAGAGGTAGTAAATTGCATTTCCCGTCTTCTGTCGACTGTCATACCGTAGTTTTTTAAGCCAAAGTCGACCGTGCTGTACTGATAAATGTGTATTGTATTACTTATCTAGGCCTACATATGCATAGTAGGAAGGGCAAGAAGTAATGTTCATCGACTTTGAATGAGACAGTTCCTGTAAATATATAATATATTTTGATTCTATTTGGAATCGCTTTTTTGTTTTTTTTTGTTTTTGTTTTTGTTTTTTTCTATAATTAAAAAAATGTACGGTACACTTTAAAAGAAAACTGAGGCTGAATTACTTCAAAAAATAAGAACACATTGAGGCTGATGTAAAATTTCAAATGTTTTTATTTGCATGCAATGTAAATATTTAACATTAATCAGTATTTCTTGCCATGCCTGTTGATTTTTGTTTAACTGCTTGAAGACCTTGATAATATGGACTGAATTAATGAATAAAAGTAAAGCAATTGATGATTCCAAAAAGGTGAAACAAATAAATTTTTAATATACCTCAGTTCAGCCAGTTGCATCCCATCAGCACTTTCATCACTTTCATTATCTCTCTGATCACTCACTGGGTATATACATTTAACTACACAACAGTAAACACAAGGTTGAAAGACGTTTATGACAAAAATCTGAACTTTTATATGAACATTATTGAAACACTGTAGCACATCATATACGTACACAGAACTGCTTTAAACATAGCTGAATATTGAGTTCAATCCAATCCACTTATAAACATGTGTTAATATTACAATTATATAATATTATCAACGTAGCCAACCAGCATAAACAATTGAAAAGAAACTAGAAATAATGAAAGTTTTGCTGTATTCATTATCATTTATCAGCAAGTACTGTTCTGTTATTTTCTTCTTTTCATATTGCATTGTAAAATACAATACATTGCAATTCAAAAAGTCAATGCAATTTTTTATAAAGAAAATAAATGTGTTGTTGATAAATGTTCATAAGGAAAAACCTTAATAATATCTGGTAATATTTCTCAACACAGTGTATGGTATGATGTCATATGAAATAGATAACAACATTCATACAAACAGTATACAATTCCAATCTGATAGGACTACAGTACTTTCAATTGATTCATGTTTCTATCCATGGCCTATAATATGGCCTGAATTGCCACCAGATCCTTATCCTTCATGTAGTGACAAGGCTTCATCCTGATTTGCAATAGCAGCCTCAAGTAATTCCACCACTCAATGTTTCACATCTTACTAATTTCTCAATGGTTTTTGCTCTATTAAAAGTACTTAATATATTATTGTCTTTTTACAAAAAAATACATGGGAGAACATGACTTCGGCCAGGAAGCACTTCTTTAATTCTTGACTTGATGCAGAATGAGCATTTGCTTTGGCTGTGGTTCATCAACTTCCATTCACTTGATTCTGTGGTCTGTGAAAATTAATTAAACAAACTAATTCAAAGAGCTTATCAATGCTACTGTGATGGTTTTAATGATCAAATATGTATTTAAATTGTTTCTTTTTAATCAAAGGTTGTTTTCCAAAAAAAAAAAAAAAAAAAAAAAAAAAAAAAATAAGTAATATCAGTATAATACAATATTAAATGCAGGTGGTGATGTTTAATTGGACATCAAAGTGTTGATAAATATTATTTGCTTAAGTCAGTTTTGATACCTATTAATTAATATATTTTTTGTTATGTTGTGTCTAAGGATTCCTATGTAGATAAAGCATACTGTACTATTAATACAATAATTTTGTTATATTCTTTTCATGAAGACATTAAAATCAAATTAAGCCTGAATTGCTTAGTCTAAGCACAGTCACTGAAGGGCACATCCCCCACCCCAAAAAACTGAATTGATTCAATTTGTGTAGTAATTGTTCTTGGTAGACAATAGTAAATAGTTGCTATATAATTGTGGCTATTCTTGATTTGTCTTCATGGTCAGTTGTTTATGCTGGGTCGATTCATTGCCAACATTATTGTCTCAATATGCTTATTACAATATAACATCATCGTATTTGATTCACAATACAGTACTCTGTGCTTATTTTGCTGTCGATAGTATCCCAGTTTGAGGAAAAGGCAGGGCTTCCTGTCTGCGTGTGTGGTGTGATAGAGAGACACTTAGTGCTTCTCAATTAAGTAAAACATACCATACCATTTTTAAAGTTATAGGTAACCACACACGTACCTTTAAACAGATTCGGTGCAATTTTGACTACTACTACTTGCACCACCATCCCTGATCCCCTTCGATATGTAGGATATTCATCAGCTTCGACGGAAACTTAATAGGCCTATACTGAGGACTCGTATTTGTTGTTTTCCACAGAGTTGCACATCCTTAAATTTCTTTAAGCTGTTTACGCTTAATGACACAACCATACTCTAGGTTCTTACAACATGTATCACAAAAATATGCCTGAAACCGGCTCAGATTTATCATTTGAAAAACTTCTGTCCAACGCCATACTTGCAAGTGGAGTGTGTTGTTTACTATTTACATCAATTGGACAAATGGCATAGAAGGTAGTTTGTGATTGGCTGAGGGCCTTGCAGCTAAGCCAAACTTCATTGTTAGTCGTCTTCTGATTGGCTATAGTTATGTAGCAACTTTTGATAAAAATTCTCATTTTTGGTTACAGTTTCCCCAAATTCACGATTGCCGACAATCAAATTATGTTACAATTTAATAGTATTGACATTTTTGTGCAAAAGCCAGGTAGCCCGGATTGGTGAGTCACAGAATTGAACGTTTTCGATCCTCAACCCACGGTCTACAGTACATGTTTTATTTTGTTTGATTTGAATTTATTTAGCAATCAGAGTAAAATACAAAAAAAAGGAAGACAAGACAAGGAAAAACAATACAAATTTTGAAAACTCTGAAAGCAAGGAATAGCCCAAAAAGGTTTCAAAGAAACGTATTTCCATTGGGATCCTGGGAATGAAAAATTCAATTGCCAAAAGGAAGAACAACATGAAGGTATCAACACAAAGCTAAATGGGAAAGGGATTATTTACAACTTTAAAAGTTAAGACATTATAAAAAGATCAACAATTTTAAAAAGAAAAAAACCAAATTTGACCGATTAAAACTCATTAAAAATAGACTTATTGTCTATATATCATTCCAGAGGTGATCCTTGAGGGACTTTTTAAATGAGTTTAATGAAGTGGAGAACTTTATTTGTGTTGGTAATCTGTTCCAATCTTGAATTCCTGTGAAGTAATTATTTTGTCAGAACCTCCCTTTATAATAGGTACCCTAAAGTTCACTGAACTGCTACGTGTGAAATGGTGAAGATTTTGATGAGTGTAAATTTATGGGTTAAATAACAAGGGGCGGTTTTAGCAAGGACTTTTAACTGTTACCAAGATAGGAAGCTGGCTGGTTTAAGCCATCTAACTTGAATTAGCCTTATGTGCGTTATTGTTATGCAAATGAGTCAGATAAGCACAATCTGCGCATGCTCAGAAAAACAAAACTTTCCTTAGCTACACCATGGCCACACTGTGTATCGGCTAGGCGTACAGCTAGGCCTAGCCGAGAATTACAGTACGGTAAAACAAAGCAAAATAAGGGTACTAATTTCGCTTGGCATGCAAATCAATCATACTTACACACTTAAAAACAAACTAGTCTACTAATAAAATCACCTGCAAGTTAAGATATAAGGCTAGTATGTCTACAAATTTGATTTTAAATTGATGTGATTAGGCTAGCCTAGACCCGGCCTAGGCCATATCTAACCGCTTATAAAAATGACCCAAAACAAATTAGAATGTAGTTATAAACTAACTAGTGCATTAAAATTATTCATATACTTACTACTTACCTATATAAAATTAAAATGTGTTGCTCATAAACGCCAATATTTGGATTTTAATACGCCTTTTCCACGAATTGGTAGACATCTTGAAGTGATGACAAACAGCCTAAGTCAGTGGTGCGTAACAAACAAAAATAAAGCTAGGCCTAGCTGCTGTACGCCAAGCCAATACGCAGTGTGGTGTGGCTAAGGAAAGTTTTTTTTTTCTGAGCATGTGTAGATTGTGCTTATCTGACTCATTTGCATAACAATAACGCACATAAGGCTAATTCAAGTTAGACGGCTTAAACCAGCCAGCTTCCTATCCTGGTAACAAGTCCTTGGTTTTAGTGAAAATTTTGTACACATTACATAATCTTAAAAATTTTGCTCTATTGTTAACGCTAAGAAAACCTATATCTCTTAATTCAAATTGACCAACATTTGCACTGGGATTTGATTTGGAAATAAAACAAATCATTTTGTTTGAAAAATCTGGAGTTTTTTTGAAAGGTTTTTAGATATTCCAGAAAACCATGAAGATGATGCATAATCAAAAAAAGGTTGAACCAGAGCAAAACTAAGTAATTTGCGACTTTTAAAATAAAGTAGTTGTGACTGACGATAAAGAAATTTGAGACAAAAATTAACTTTAGAAATAACTGATTTTTGCAATGAGTTCGCCTGACACTTGTTGGTCAATCAAACGCCCAAGTATTTGTACTTTTAAAAGTCTTTTACAAACCTGCTCGCGACCCAACACAAAACTTTGGTGACCCACTTTTGGGTCACTACCCATAGTTTGGGAAGTATGGATTTAGAGCACGATAAAGCTTGGATAATTCTCTCGAAACAGTACAAACCTTAGAACAAGAGTCCTTAAGCTGTTATTGCCTATCTCAGCCACAATGTAAACCCCTTTGAAAGTTGTAAGATGAGGCATCTAATAGTATAAAGGTAGTAAACTTTTAAATTTGTTATTTAAACAAAACTGCTGGTATTCATTAAAACATTTTTTAAAAAAATTAAAAATATGAAAGTTTCTTATTATTTCACTTGCAAATCATCATACATTAATAATAAGTGGTCCAACTAAAACAGCAAATTATGAAAACATAGTTTGGCACAAAGTCGTACTCTACATAATAATTACAATCAGCTACTTAACAAACCTAATCTCCTGTGACTTGAGGATAGAAGGAAAATTATTTGTCTTTGTTTTTGCTTTTCCCTTCTTAACAATAATGTAGAACATGATTTTTCTTTTGAAGTCAATCATGGAAGAGAGTTTCCAACCTTCCATATTTCCTTTGCCCGATGTAACACACTTAAATATTCTTATTTTAATACCATACTGGCCATTTGGAAGTCTGCCAATTGAAATATGGAACTTTAACATCACTAAACAACTTTAAAACAGATACTATTGTGTTTATTCAACAGCAAAATCAATAATTAGTAGAATTGTTATGAATTTATATGTATATCACCATCGTTTTTGTTTTTTTATTTTGGGCAGGTGAAACCATTGGGTAATAGGAATTTGTTCCTCCTTGTCTGACCCCCCTCCCCCTCTGTATGTTTGTTCTATTGATGTTTTTGGAGGAAATAAATGTATTATTATTATTATTATTATTATTATTATTATTATTATTATTATTGATATTGATGTTGTTGTTGTTGTCAAAATGATAATTAATATGAATAGGCCTATTAGTAGACCTCATCTTGAAAATTGTTATATTAAGTTAATAATTCATTCATTTCATATCTTCACATTAAATCAATTACTTTCAGTTGTTCGTTTTTTTTTTCTGTTGCCTACTATTTTGGTTATATTTATGTTCCAGTTAATGTACTGTAGCCCTTCATATTTAATTCATATTTTTGCATGTTGTTACAGGAAGTGTTCGTGGCATTTCACAAAGATCAGAAATATTCACGAAAGTTTATGACAGCACTGCACATTGGTGAAGTAGCATCAACAGACAAAAGCAGAAATAAAAGTATAGTTGACGATGTTAAAAATCTTCGTCAAACAGCCCAGAAAATGGTAGGTTAAAAAAATAGTAATAATTTATTAATGATTACAATTCATTAATGTAATAGTATTGTTATTTTTGGCGATTATATAAGCAGTTTAATTTTTGCCAATTGTCTATTGATAATGCACTAAAGATGAACTATAGAAAATAAAACGTATAAAGTATAGTTAGTTTTCAGCTACAGGTAGTTAGTTGAGCACCTATGGAAATTTGTATTAAGAAACAATTCCCTGTTCTAAAGCCGAGCCCTCACTACGTTGTACGACAGTTGCACAACTGTCTGCTGACAAATCCAACCTTTGCCCCCTGTAAGCGCTAGACGACGCGACACCATCTACTGATTTTCGGTGGCAGTTTGAACAGATCGTCGTTGAAAGTAATCTCTTGGGAACGCGTCGTCGTGTTCCTTTCTCTATAGAATTGCATCGGCGACGACCGCCAGGCGCAGCGAGATTGCCGGCTTTATTCAGAGTGTCCGTTACCATTCACAGTGGACATGCTAATTCTCGGTTCATGAACCTAGTGCCTCTTCCAAAAAAAGCGGTGCATTATAATCTCTATTACAAAGGAAAAGCATCTGGCATGGAATAGATTCTGGCAAAGCCCACCAGGTTCAACACATAGAGTAGTTACCACTACCTTCTAATAAGTTATATAGTAATACTGTCATCCTTGATATGATTGAGTTTTCTCCTTTTTTTTCTTTCTATTTCAGGGTTTATTCAAACCTAGCAAAACATTTTACCTGGTACAGATTCTACATATCCTCCTTCTAGCCATTGTAGCTTATGCAGAAATGTCTTACTTCGGAGTTACCGTGCCAACCTTTATTTTTGCAATAGTCATTCTTGGAACTGCACAGGTATTCAAGCTAAACACTTATTAACTTATTATACAAATTTTATTCAAAACTTAAGTAAAACAGTGAAATTGCTAGCTTGAAATAAGTATTCATTTTTAATGACCAGTTTGGTGTTCTGTAGGCCTACTGGCATTCAATTTGGGTATGTCTTTAAAAAGAAATAAAACATGTATGCTATTTTTCTAATTTTTTTAAAACTTTTTTCTAGACAAAAACAAGTACATTATGTAAACGTCACATCTTTCCTTATAGATAAGATACACAATTTCATCCAGATATGACCCCACTTTTTCCAGTACTGATGTACCACTAGTTTGAGCTTGTGGGATGCCAGCACTAGCCTGGCTAGAAATCTGAGTAAATTACACTCAAGTACAATTCTGCCCATCACATTTCCTCACTATCAGCTCCCTTAAGTTAACATCCCTATAATACACCACTGTTATCATCACTGCCTGTGTATCTGAATAACCTTACCAGAGTGTTTCAATGTCACAGGCGCAGTGTGCTTGGTTGCAGCATGACTTTGGGCATAATTCAGTATTTGAGGATAACAAGTTCAACCGTCTGGTGCACTTTCTTATCATGGGTACTTTGAAGGTAAATTCATCAGGCATTTGATAAAAGTGTTTATACAATAATACAATAGAGATTCCATCAGTTAGAAGATTATGTATGATTGTTTAGTTCTATGTGTATGTTCATAGTATAATTTTGATCAAAGTCATTGCATATTTGATATTAAGCATTAAGTTATAAATAAACATCGATGGATAAGCTAAATAAGCAAATGTAAAATGTATGGATATAAATATATACAGTCTTATAAATAGAAACATGAATGGATAAAGTGCTTAAATGCCATAAATTGATGAATGGTTAGATTTGAAATATAGATAAATTTGTATTAACTGTTGGATGGATGGATAAATGCTAGATTCACTTGTAGTCATAGTTCATTCAGCTGAGGCCTACCATGCAAGTCATATGCACGGTATCATTTTATAATGTAAACATATTAGAATGGTTATTGCTATTTACTATTATTATTATTTATGGTATGACTACTGTATAAGTATCGACATGCAGTGTGTATGAATTACACTTTTCCCTTCAATTGAAGACCACTTTTGGGACCAGGGTTTTAGTGGTCGTTTGCAGCATCTATCTCTAATTAGAATCCCTCTAATTAAAGAACCGGCTCGAAAAGTTGTCTCTGTTTAAATTAAAGGGAAATTAAGAAATGATATAGTAAATGTAAGATTGTTTTATTCCAAGTATTTTTAGAATGGATACACAGTAACTGTGTGCTGTTATTGTTTCTTAATATATCATTTCGTAGTAGTCACACATCATGTCTTATGCTTGTACCCAAATCACCATTACAATATTACGAACACATAATTAAATGTATACACAAAACATCATCTTATGCTACGTATTATTTTGATATAAATCTGTGATATCATCATCATCATCATCATATATTTTTTAAAACTGAATTAAAATCACTATATATTTTATTTATGGAATGAAGGGAACATTTTTAGTTGGATCTGCCAAAACCATGTTATTATATATTATATTTGAATGTTTTCTTCCAAGTGTTTTAGAATGGATTGCTGTATGCTGTTGCTGATTCATTATACACCATTTCTCAGTAGACACATATCAATTGTCCTTTTACTCAAGTATCCAATTAATTATAAAAATACAAACTTCAATGTGCTACAATATGGAGCATTGTATACACAAAACATCGGCTTTTGATGTATATTATTTTGATGTATATAGTCTGTAAAAACACTGCACTAAAACCATTATATGTTTTAAAAGTAGTAGAAAATGTTCAGCTTGGTCTAGCAAGACCATGGTGGTGTCTAATATGATCCCTATAATCATGGAAGACAACAGGGGTCCCAAGTTGGGAGTCAAGAAATCTGTTTAAATGAATTTCATAAGACATCATTAAAACATACTTTGCTGTGCATGGTGGTAGCCATTATGATTGGCACTAACTGCTAAGAGACAATTAATAATACAGTAGTGGAAACATATAAAAATATGCAATTATCATCACGAATATGCTGGAGATGGTTTATTTCGTGAGATTCTTGCTTCCTTGCGGACGGAGCGCGGGAGTCCTTCCTGTCGATTTCCAGGAGACGCCATTCCGGGACTCTACAGGAGACTTGGGACTCCTGTGTACTAAATGTGGTCTTTAGATTTCTCTATTTACAGAGAAATTATTAAAAAATAATACATTAAATATTTGTAAATGGATGTACAGTTAGTGCATGCTGTTATTTATTCCTAATGAAACATTTTATGGTAGCCAGACATCAGCTTGTTTTTCCATTAAATATTACAGACATAGCCACTAACATTATTGTAATATTCAATATACACAAACACTTTACACTAAACAGCGAATCGGCTAATACTAATATTTCTATGTACAAATCATATATAACACAATTTCAGTGTTTAAGCTGTCATTAGCCAAATAGCCAAATCCTAATAAAAGCTGAATTTTGCTAAATATTTTTACTCAAAATGAACCAAAAATCTAATGGAATTGAAGTTATCATTGCTTATAATTATATTCTTTTATTTTGTCTCATCAAATTTCTATTTGGCAAATTATTTTCATACCGAATTAGTCAAATTGCTAAATATTTTTTTTGGCCAGCTTAAACCCTGAATTTATTATAGAAAAAATTGCATTAACATCATTAATTACTTTATATTGGTCTTTAATTGGAGGGAAAATTTTCTGTTGGTCTACCAAAACCATGGTCTTTGGTCTGTAAGTAGAGGGAATATTTAATTTGTCGGTAACAGCTAATTATAACAGATGGGCATTCAACCAGGGCTGTAGAAATGTGTTCTTTCTTTAATTGGAGAGGTCTTTTATTGGAGGGAGACTGGTATTTATCAATTTAATATCTGAATGTGATCTATGGGAAGCATCTTGAATATGGTGGCATGCCACATAATTACATACAGTGTGTAATTATATGCAAATACACTTATCTAATTCCCTGTCAATTTGATTTTTCAATACTGTTTGTAGGGAGCATCTAGTAAATGGTGGAACCACATGCATAATCAACACCACTCCAAGCCGAATGTGGTAAGAACATTAGGCAACAGCGTGACCACTGGTTGGGTATTTACCCAAGATCTTGGGTATTTTGACTTTGGTCTTGGGTTCTTGGGTAATCCGTTCAAATCCTTGGGTATTTTATTTTTATAAGAAAATTAAATATTTTTGTCACAGAGGAAAAATTAGAAGTAACAAAGTATATTTCAGTCCATTCAAGTAAGCAAAACTCAATGAAGTGCACATAACATTCTTAATTGACTGTTAATTGCTATAAACATGGGTTCAGAATTGTTTATTTGTGATTTGTGTTGCCATTGATCTTACCTAATTAATGCATTACATAATAAAACTTGATCACTGATAACACTGGCCGACTGAGGGCGTATTTTTTATCACCGATGAATATTAATTTTAATAATTAACACAAAAAATTACAATAAAAAAATGGTTTATAAATTGAACTAAAAGGGAAACTATACATGCGAAAACACATATTTTTCAAATTTCAATGCATTTTCAGGAATCTTGGGTAATTTTGGGAAATTTTTGCTGAATCTTGGGTAATTTCGACCCAGTCATTGGGTATATCAAAAATTGTGAGTGGTCACGCTGTTAGGCAATATTACTATATATTTTTATATGCCAAATAGCAACTGAGAGCCTTTTTACCTTTTCGTTTTTTTAGTGTGTCTAAGGTTTAGTGCTCACCCAAAAACAGAAAACTACTTAAGACTTCTCAATTTGGAAGAAGTCACTACATATGACATTTCTGGAGAATTATGAATGGAGTCTGAGCTTGCCATTTTTTAGTATGTCAGAAGTTCTGAGTGGCTCAAAATTAAATCTAGATTAAATGGATATCTGTGAGCTACAACATTAATTTTTATAATATTTCAATACAAATATTCACTTGCCTTCCTATTTTTGTAAATTAGTGCTTTAGTTCCACTGTAAAAGGCGAGCTACAAAATACTTGGACATTACAATAAATGCATTATAAAATTATTGTTGCATTTTTGTGCTTGTCACAGCCGTTGCAAGTTGTTCTCCCAATCTTGACGGGGTTTGAACCATTGCTGTGCATCCACTTGTTTCCTTGTGTTAGGCGCTTTACCTATGGTCGTCTCTCTCAACCCAGGAATATAAGCAGGTACATGGCACCAATTTGCTGCTTACTGCTGTAATATTATGGTATTATTTTTGATACAATAGATGTCATGACAGTGTACATGCTATAATGCCATCACTATTATTAATTATGTTTTCTTATGTACTTTCTTATGTACTTTCTTTTATAAAGATTGATAAAGATCCAGATGTAAGGCTTGAGGCTTTGTTTGTGGTCGGTGAGAAGATGCCGGTGGCAGTCGCCAAGTCCGGGAAGTCTTCCATGCCGTACAACCACCAACACAAGTACTTCACGATAAGTAAGCCAATACCAGTATTGTCAATAAAGAGGTTGATGAGTGGCTGGGTGATTGATAAGTGATATGATGATAATGATGATGATAAATGATAAATCTCATTCATTGAGATGATGATAATGATGATGATAAATCATGGAAAACAATTAACTTACATATAAATGTGCTTACTGTGATAATGATTATGGCAAAAATGAATCAACATAAATTCACCAGTTATTTGAATTTCTTTTTTTTTTTTTTTTTTTTTTTTTTTTTTTTTTTTTTTTTTTTTTCCAGTTGGGCCTCCCCTTCTGTTTCCTGTGTATTTTCAATTCATGTTATTCTGGTACATATTCTCAAGAAAAGAATGGACCGTAAGTAATTCTTTGTTGCAATCAATTTCTTTTAGCAATAATCTTGTAATCTTTAGCGTGGGATATGATCATTACAAACTCCCTTATGCCTATCTTGGACCCAGGGTATATGAAATGTCATATTTTTACTTAATTTTTGCGTGCTTGCTGTGTGTGGGAGGTTGTCACAATTTTCAGGAGGCTCCGACAACTCATAGGAGACTTGGAGCTGTATTGTGTCTGATTACTCCAATGCGAGACCAACTTTACTACATATATCTTATACAACACTGTGACATTGAGATTCCACCAATAATCTTGAATTCTTCACGTTTTGTTTTTCAGGATCTGTGCTTTACACTGTCCTTCTATGTTTTGTTTGGTGCAACATTTGGTAACCTGTTGTCATGGTGGCAAGTTATTTTACTTTATGAAGGAATGAGGTAATATACATAAACACAATTAAGAAAACGAAATTAACAATATCATGTCTACTATCTAATCATGCATACATAAACATACACTGCCTCACATCCAATCAAAGGATAGAGTGCCCAAGATATTTACATTTTGATAGTCAAATAAAAATGAAGGTTCTCTCAATTTATGTAGACACATGGTAATTTGAGTTCCATTTACCTTTTAGTTAGTAGACCCTTAAATAATTTACCAAATTCAAGTTTAATTGGCAATTGCAACTTATTAATGACCTAATTTTGACATGGTAATCAGGTATATTTATTAAGTCGTTTTTCCAAATGATCATCTCAATTTTTTATTTTAATAATCTTCTTTCACATGAATCCTGTGAAAATCAACATTAGATGGGTAGTGTGGTCACTCGAATCCATTCTATGGTATCTTTGTCCAGGTCTTGGAGTCCTTGTTTGCATTTGGAAGATATTTTAATCTGTTAAAGCTATAATTGCTGCAAAGCAGCCAATTCATATTCTTGACAGCAGTTTGACCTCTGAAAGGTCATTGTTTGTCAAAAAACAAGGGCCTAAGAC